GAGTACTGAAGCACCTGATCCATCACCAGGGTACTGAAGGAGCTGAAGCACCTGGCCCACCACCAGAGTATTGAAACACCTGGTCCACCACCAGGGTACCGAAAGAGCTGAAGCACCTGGTCCATCACCAGGGTACTGAAGCACCTGGTCCATCACCAGGGTACTGAAGCACCTGGTCCACCACCAGAGTACTGAAGCACCTGGATCATCACCAGGGTACTGAAGCACCTGGTCCATCAACATAGTACTGAAGCACCTCGTTCACCACCAAGTAACGAAGGAGCAGAAGTCCTGGTCCATTCATCAGGGTACGAAGCACCTCGCCATCACCAGGGTACTGCCCGCACCTGGTCCATCACCAAGGGTACTGAAGGAGCTGAAGCACCTGGTCCATCACCAGGTACTGAAGCACCTAGTTTCATCCCCGGGGGTCTGAAGCACCTGGATCATCCCCCAAGGTAACGAAGCCCTGGTCCACCACCAGAGTACTGAAGCACCTCGTCCATCACCAGGGTACTGACGCACCTGGTCCACCACCAGGATACCGAAAGAGCTGAAGCACCTGGTCCATCACCAGGGTACTGAAGCACCTGGATCATCACCAGGGTACTGAAGCACCTGGTCCACCACCAGAGTACTGAAGCACCTCGTCCATCACCAGGGTACTGACGCACCTGGTCCATCACCAAGGGTACTGAAGGAGCTGAAGCACCTGGTCCACCACCAGGGTACTGAAGCACCTGGTCCATGACCAGGGTACTGAAGGAGCTGAAGCACCTGGCTCACCACCAGAGTACTGAAGCACCTGGTCCATTACCAGGGTACTGATAGGGGCTGAAGCACCTAGTTCACCACCAGAGTAATGAAGCACCTGGGTACTGAAGGAGCTGAAGCACCTGGTCCATCACCAGGGTGCTGAAGCACCTGGTCCATCACCACCGTACTGAAGCACCTGGTTCACCACCCTAGTACTGAAGCACCTGGTCCACCACCGGAGTACTGAAGCACCTGGTCCATCACCTGGGTACTGAAGCACCTGGTCCATCACCAGAGTACTGAAGCACCTGGTGCACCAGCATGGTGCTGAAGGAGCTGAAGCACCTGGCCCACCACCAGAGTACTGAAGGAGCTGAAGCACCTGGTCCATCACCAGGGTAATGAATCACCTAGTCCACCACCATAATACTGAAGCACCTGGTCCATCACCAGAGTACTGAAGCACCTGGTGCACCAGCATGGTGCTGAAGGAGCTGAAGCACCTGGTCCATCACCAGAGTACTGAAGCACCTGGTGCACCAGCATGGTACTGAAGGAGCTGAAACACCTGGTACACCACCAGAGTACTGAATGAACTGATGCACCTGGTCCATCACCAGGGTAATGAATCACCTAGTCCATCACCAGGGTACTGAAGCAACTGGTCCATCACAAGGCTACTGAAGGAGCTGAAGCACCTGGTATATCACCAGGGTACTGAAGGAGCTGAATCACCTGGTCCACCACCTGAGTACTGAAACAGCTGAAGCACCTGGTCCACCACGAGAGTACTGAAGCAGCTGAAGCACCTGGTCCACCAGCAGAGTACTGAAGGAACTGAAACACCTTGTCCATCACCAGGGTACTGAAGCACCTGCTCCATCACCAGGGTACTGAAGCACCTGGTCCATCACCAGGGTACTGAAGAAGCTGAAGCACTTGGTCCATCACCAGAGTACTGAAGCACCTGGTCCACCACTGAAATACTGAAGGAGCTGAAGCACCTGGTCCATAACCAGGGTACTGAAGCACCTGGTTCTACACCTGAGTACTGAAGCACCTGGTTCACCACCAGAGTACTGAAGCACCACGTCCATCTCCAGAGAACTGAAGCACCTCGTCCATCACCAGAGCACTGAAGCACATGGTCCAACGCCAGGGTACTGAAGCACCTTGTCCTCCACCAGGATACTGAAACACCTAGTCCACCACCATAATACTGAAGGACCTGGTCCACCTCCAGAGTACTGAAGGAGCTGAAGCACCTGGTCCATCATCATGGTACTTAAGCACCTGGTCCACCACAAGAATACTGAAGGAGCTGAAGCACCTGGTCCATCACCAGGGTACTGAAGCTCCTGGTCGATCACCAGGGTACTGAAGCACCTGGTCCACCACCAGAGTTCTGAAGCACCTCGTCCATTACCAGGGTACTGAAGCACTTGGTCCACCACCAGAGTGCTAAAGCACCTGGTCCACAACCAGAGTACTGAAGCACCTAGTCCACCACCAGGGTATTGAAGCACCTGGTACACCTCCAGAGTACTGAAGGAGCTGAAGCACCTGGTCCATCATCAAGGTACTTAAGCACCTGGTCCACCATCAGAGTACTGAAGGAGCTGAAGCACCTGGTCGATCACCAGGGTACTGAAGCACCCGGTCGATCACCAGGGTACTGAAGCACCTGGTTCACCACCAGAGTACTGAAGCACCTCTTCCATTACCAGGGTACTGAAGCACTTGGTCCACCACCAGAGTACTGAAGCACCTGGTCCACCACCAGGGTACTGAAACACCTGGTCCACCACCAGAGTACTGAAGCACCTTGTCCACCTCCAGGGTACTGTAGCAACTGGTCCACCACCAGAGTACTGAAGCACCTGGTCAACCACCAGAGAACTGAAGCACCTGGTCCATCACCAGGGTACTGAAGCACCTGGTCCATCACGAGAGTACTGAAGCACCTGGTCCACCCCAGAATACTCAAGGAGCTGAAGCACTTGGTCCACCACAACAGTACTGAAGGAGCTGACGCTACTGGTCCATCACCAGGGTACTGAAGCACCTGGTCTATCACCAGGGTACTGAAGTACATGGTGCATCACCAGGGTAACGAAGGAGCTGAAGCACCTGGTCCATCACCAGGGTACTGAAGGAGCTGAAGCACCTGGTCCATCACCAGGGTACTGAAGCACCTGGTCCATCACCAGAGTACTGAAGAAGCTAAAGCACCTAGTCCACCATCAGAGTAATGAAGCACCTGAGTACCGAAGGAGCTTATGCCCCTGTTCCATCACCAGGGTACTGAAGCACTTGGTCCATCATCAGGGTACTGAAGCACCTGGTCCACCACCAGAGTTCTGAAGCACCTGGTATATCACCTGGATACTGAAGCACCTGGTTCATCACAAGAGTACTGAAGCACCTGGTCCACCACCAGGGTACGGAAGGAGCTGAATCACCTGGGCCACCACCGAAGTACTGGAAAAGCTGAAGCACTTGGTCCATCACGAGGTTACTGAAGTACCTGGTCCACCACCGGAGTACTGAAGGAGCTGAAGCACCTGGTCCATCACCAAGGTACTGAAGCACCTGGTCGATCACCAGAGTACTGAAGGAGCTGAAGCACCTGGTCTATCACCAGAGTACTTAAGCACCTGGTCCGCCACCAGAGTACTGAAGGAGCTGAAGCACCTGGTCTATCACCAGAGTACTTAAGCACCTGGTCCACCACCAGAGTACTGAAGGAGCTTAAGCACCTGGTCCATCATCTGGGTACTAAAGCACCTGGTGCATCACCAGGGTACTGAAGCACCTGGTCCACCACCAGATTACTGAAGGAGTTTAAGCACCTGGTCCATCACCAGAGTACTGAAGGAGCTGAAGCACCTGGTCCACCACTAGAGTACTGAAGGAGCTGAAGCACCTGGTACATCACCAGGGTACTGAAGCACCTGGTCATCACCATGGTACTGAAGCACCTGGTCCATCACCATGGTACTGAAGCACTGGGTCCATCACCATGGTACTGAACGAGCTGAAGCACCTGGTCCATAACCAGGGTACTGAAGCACCTGGTTCACCACTGGAGTACTGAAGGAGTTGAAGCACCTGGTCCATCACCAGGGTACTGAAGCACCTGGTCCATCACCAGGGTACTGAAGCACCTGGTCCATCACCAGAGTACTGAAGGAGCTGAAGCGCCTGGTCCATCACCAGAGTACTGAAGCACCTGGTCCATCACCAGGGTACTGAAGCACCTGGTCCACCACCAGAGTACTGAAGGAGCTGAAGCACCTGGTCCATCACCAGGGTACTGAAGTACCTGGTCCATCTCCAGATTACTGAAGGAGCTGAAGCACCTGGTCCATCAACAGAGTACGGAAGCACCTGGTCCACCACCAGAGTTTTGAAGGAGCTGAAGCACCTGGTCCATCACCAGGGTACTGAAGCACCTGGTCCATCACCAGAGTACTGAAGGAGCTGAAGCACCTGGTCCATCACCAGAGTACTGAAGCATCTGGTCCATCACCAGGGTACTGTAGCACCTGGTTCATCACCAGAGTACTGAAGGTGCTGAAGCACCTGGTCCCTCACCAAAGTACTGAAGCACCTGGTCCACCAGCAGAGTACTGAAGGAGCTGAAGCACCTGGTCCATCACCAAGGTACTGAAGTACCTGGTCCATCACCAGAATACTGAAGGAGCTGAAGCTCCTGGTCCATCAACAGAGTACTGAAGCACCTGGTCCACCACCAGAGTTCTGAAGGAGCTGAAGCGCCTAGTCCACCACCAGAGTACTGAAGCACCTGAGTGCTGATGGAGCTGAAGCACCTGGTCCATCACCAGGGTACTGATGGAGCTGAAGCACCTGGTCCATCACCAGGGTACTGATGGAGCTGAAGCACCTGGTCCATCACCAGGGTACTGATGGAGCTGAAGCACCTGGTCCATCACCAGGGTACTGAGGGAGCTGCAGCAGCTGGGAATATTCATTATCAAAATTTTCACTTGCCCAGAAGTCTTCCTCAGTCGAGTGTAGAAGTGAATGAATGTCTTGCTCAGTCCTTCAGCCTTGACGAAGAGATAATTTTGAGGTAGTCAGTCTCTCAACTATGATGAATATTCAGCATTATAACCTTGATCAATACGTCTCTGAGCACTACAATGAAGTTTCTTATACTGGAGTCAGCATATTGACATCTATGTAATTTATAATGGTACTCTGCAGATAACCTTTCTTACCCATGAGACAAGCGTCCAGGAACTTAGCTTCCATTACGCCCTGGTAGGTAATATCACCATGTTCCTCAACCATCTGTTGCACCTCCTGGCGGAGACGCTGCTGGTGTACGGGATGTTTGGCCAGCAGAAAAGCAGAGAAGGCTAGAACAGCCGCCGTGGTGTCGTAACCAGCGATGAGGAAGAGCACACACTGAGCCACGATACATCTGTCCGTCAGCACTGTAATGTTCGTTGCTACGCTTATTACCTTTAAAACTTATTGACTATACAAGGTTAAAAAAAAAATTACATGTAACTCGCTCGTCACCTGCCAAATAGGGAATGAAATAATCTCTTAGTTAATAATATACACAGAGAAAGAAGACATCTTGATGTGTATATTCTTAACTACGTAATGACTGATTATTTTACTCTTTTATTCCCAGTTACGTTATTATTATTATTTTATTATTATTAAATTTAATATATTTTTATTATTATTATTTATTATTATTATTAATTAAATTATTATTATTTTATTATATTATTTTTTAAAAACGAAATATAGTATTTTTAGTAAAGAAATCATTGTTGGATGTTTTGGATGATGAAATAATGAAATATAAAGTGAAGAGAGATATAGACCTCTCAGTGTATATATACCGAGAGATATAGACCTCTCAGTGTATATATACCGAGAGATATAGACCTCCCAGTGTATATATACCGAGAGATATAGACCTCTCAGTGTATATATACCGAGAGATATAGACCTCTCAGTGTATATATACCGAGAGATATAGACCTCTCAGTGTATATATACCGAGAGAATAGACCTCCCTGTATAAAAACCGACCAGATATAGACCTCTCAGTGTATATATACCGAGAGATATAGACCTCTCAGTGTATATATACCGAGACATAGACCTCTCAGTGTATATATACCGAGAGATATAGACCTCTCAGTGTATATATACCGAGAGATATAGACCTCTCAGTGCATATATACCGAGAGATATAGACCTCTCAGTGTATATATACCGAGAGATATAGACCTCCCAGTGTATATATACCGACAGATATAGACCTCTCAGTGTATATATACCGAGAGATATAGACCTCTCAGTGTATATATACCGAGAGATATAGACCACTCAGTGTATATACACTGAGATATATAGACCTCTCACGCAGGAAGGAATACATATGAATGACCTCATAGGGAACAGGAGCCATAGTAGGGAAACAAGTGTAGTCAAAGATAAGATAAAACCAATATTGCAAACTAGAAATACCGCAGGAAATAGCAAACAAGAGGACTCCACTAGCAATAGTGAGGATATATTACCAAAAACAAATGGTGGGAGCTCCATTGTTGGTGCTAGGGAGGATAGAAGTAAGACAGGGAAACATGCACCAACAGGGAATACAGTCACAGAAACCCAAGGCAAACGGAAACCAAGCCTGTGCACATACTATGCACTCGGTATCTGCAGGCATGGGAAATCTGGAAAAACAGATGGGACGTGCAACTATGACCACCCTAGAAATGCCATGCCCTTATGACAACAGGAAAATGCAAACTCCCTTCCTGTAAGCTTTTTCACCCTGAACTGTGTACCCTTCAGTACAGGAAAGACTGTGCTATAACTTAAATTGCCAGGCATTAACCCAAACAAAGGGGACAAAAAGATACAAAACATCCAGGCCATGGGAAAACCTGGGTAGCCACAGGCCACTCAAGAGGGAGAGGTTTTTTTAGTGCCAGGAAGGAAAAAAAAACTGGCATGAAATGGCAGAAATCGTAACTCCAAAATCCATCATTCCTGAGTGGGAACCACAGTCGATGGCCTCCACTCCAAACAAACAGATACAGATACTAATGCCGGAAAAAAAATCCCCCCCCCCCAGTCACCAACCAATACCACCAGTCCGATAACATGCTCTTTTGCTATATCCAGGGTCTAAAGCCAGCAACAAACAACAAAATACCTTCATCCGTGGACTGCTTGCAGAGCAAAGGCAATGTTCGCGGCTTTCACTGAGACCCACATAAAGGATCCACTTGGACAACGAAAATATGCTCCCAGGTCTACAACCTTAACAGATGTGACATAGTGAACAGGGCAAAAGGGGGGGGTTGGCCTGTACATTGCAGAGTCACTTGTTTTGCACAGAACTGCTAAATGCCTCAATGAGTAGTTGAATTTTTAGCAGTAAAGGTCGAGAACCAAAACCTAGTCATTGTGATAGTCTACAAGCCGCCGATGCAACATACCCATCAATTCCAGAACAGCTGTTAAAAATTGAGCCACTGTCTGGAAAACCTTCCAGCTCCTGCACCCAACATCTTGCTCCTTGGGGGATTTCAACTAAGGCACCTAAAATGGAGGAATATACAAATAATTTTGTGCAGTAAATAACAACCAGGAGGCAGCCTCAGATGAAAACTCACACTCACGGCGAGCTTTATAAATCTCCTGCAAAAAATTCTAATTTTGAAACTACAGCAAATAAAAATAGAGCCTATAGACCTGGAGAATACACTAGACCTCTCTCACTAACAATGATGATCTGATAAGAAATGATCACCATAGATCCAAAAACAATATACTCAATCACAACAGAATTGAGGTTCAGTCATGTATGCGCGAGCCGCCAGACCGACATAATGAGATTAGTCACGGAGCATTCACCAAATTCTAACTTCAATTAACAAAAACATAAGTGGGACCAAGTAAACCAAGTCCTAACCGATATAAGCTGGGAAGATATACTAAGCAACACATACCCCAACTTCTGCCTAGAACAGATTTAACTCGGTAGCACTCGGATGTATGCACAAAGGCCTTATTCCTCTAAGAAAAAGAGGAGTAGATGTAAAACAGAAAGAGACAGGCGGCTCTAGCCCTTTACAGGCGATCGAAAATGAATAACAGAGCGGCTAAAAGAGGTCAATATATCTGAAATCCCGTAGAGTGAGACACTGGTCATAGAAATAAGCAAGCATCAAACTTAAGCTAAAAGAATCCTTTAGGAGTTCAGGAATCGCGGAAGGAACTACAAGCCATAAATGAAATCGAAAGAAACCCCCAATGTATTTCTCTCCTATGCCAAATCAAAATCGAGAACAACGTCCATATGCCACCTACATAAACAGATGGGTCCTACACAGATGACAACAAGGAAATGAGTGAGCCCTACTCAAGTCCAAATGAACTCAGTTTTTTTAGCAAGCCGCTAACGCATACGAGATCGAAGATAAAATGTAATTTTATAGAAGAGCCACAAAATTTGATTTAACACAAGCCTATCCTATGTTATCCCTGACGCCAATTGACATCGAACAGGCGATAAAAGACATGCCCATGGCACTCTGCCCCAGAGGCCAGACTCATGGACTCCCTGTGTTCATCAAGAACTGGCAAGAAGCCCCTATCACGAGCCTTTTCCATCTCTATGGAGAGGGAGCCATGGACACGGGGGTCGTCCCACAGTTACTAAAAAACAACAGACATAGCCCCCACTCCAAAGGGGGGCAGTAAAGCACAGCAAAGATCTACAGACCAATAGCACTAACATCCCATATCATAAAATCTTTGAAAGGGTCTAATTAGCAAGATCACCACGGCATCTAGAAACCCATCATACACAACCCAGGGCAACGATGGGTTTTAGAACAGGCGCTTCCGTCTGTCTCAACTATGGACCACCTACGACAAGGTCCAAAAATGCACTAGAAGACAAAAAGAATGCAGATGTATATATACAGACTTTGCAAAGCCTTCGACAAGTGTGACCATGGCGTAAAGCGCACAAAATGCGTGCTAAAGGAATAACAGGAAAAGTCGGTCGATGGATCTATAATTTCCTCACTAACAGAACACAGAGAGTAGTCGTCAACAGAGTAAAGTCCGGGGCAGCTACGGTGAAAAGCTCTGTTCCACAAGGCACATTTACTCGCTCCCATCTTGTTCCTCATCCTTAATCCGACATAGACAAGGATGTCAGTCACAGCACCGTGTCTCCTTTGCAGAGACACCCGAATCTGCATGACAGTGTCTTCAATTGCGGGACACTGCAAAGCTCCAGGCAGACATCAACCAAATCTTTCAGTGGGCTGCAGAAAACAATATGAAGTTCAACGATGAGAAATTTCAATTACCAGATATGGTAAACATGAGGAAATAAAATCTTCATCAGAGTACAAAACAAATTCTGGCCACAAAATAGAGCGAAACACCAACGTCAAAGACTGGGAGTGATCATGTCGGGGGATCTCACCTTTAAGGACCATAACACTGTATCAATCCCCATCTGCTAGAAAAATGACAGGATGGGTAATGGAACCTTTTAAAACTAGGGGGGCCAAGCCCATGATGACACCTTTCAGGTCACTTGTTCTATCTAGGCTGGAAAATTGCTGCACACTAACAGCACCTTTTAAGGCAGGTGAAATTGCCGACCTAGAAAATGTACAGAGAACTTTCACGGCACGCATAACGGAGATAAAACACCTCAATTATTGGGAGCGCTGAGGTTCCTAAACCTGTATTCCCTGGAACGCAGGAGGGAGAGATACATGATTTTTATACACCTGGAAAATCCTAGAGGACTATACCGAACTTGCACACGAAAATCACCCACTACGAAAGCAAAAGACTTGGCAGACGATGCACCATCCCCCCAATGAAAAGCAGGGGTGTCACTACACGTTAAGAGACCATAACAATAAGTGTCAGGGGCCCGAGACTGTTCAACTGCCTCCCAGCACACATAAGGGGGATTACCAACAGACCCCTGGCAGTCTTCAAGCTGGCACTGGACAAGCACCTAAAGTCAGTTCCGGATCAGCCGGCTGTGGCTCGTATGTTGGTTTGCGTGCAGCCAGCAGCAACACCTGGGTTTATCCCGGCTCTGATCCACCAGGGGGCCTGGTCCTCAGACCGGCCGCGGGGGCATTGACCCCCGGAACTCTCTCCAGGTAAACTCCAGGTATATATACCGAGAGATATAGACCTCTCAGTGTATATATACCGAGAGATATAGACCTCTCAGTGTATATATACCGAGAGATATAGACCTCTCATGTATATACACGGAGATATAGACCTCTCGTGTAATACACCCGAGAATAGCCTCTCAGTTATATATCCCCATCTTTGTTAAATAAAACCCTTTTTTATTTTCCCGGGGAAAATCCTAAAATTAAAAAATTTTTTTTAAAAAATTTAAATA